AGAAACACCTGAAGTCACTCTGTGGTCATAGAAACACCTGAAGTCACTCTGTGGTCATAGAAACACCTGAAGTCACCCTGTGGTCATAGAAACACCTGTGGTCACAGAAACACCTGTGGTCACAGAAACACCTGAAGTCACTCTGTGGTCATAGAAACACCTGTGGTCACAGAAACACCTGTGGTCACAGAAACACCTGAAGTCACTCTGTGGTCACAGAAACACCTGTGGTCACAGAAACACCTGTCCACACCTTAGGGCTTGGAGCCTCAGCTGAGCAGGAGCTGAGCGTGGACATGATGTTACAAGATGTAAGATGTGGACACAGGACTCTTTCAGAACCAGAACCAGCAGCAGCAGACACAGGGACTTCACCTGGACCTGAAAGGATCCGCACCCACAGACTGCAGCACAGGTGAGAAGAATCCCACCCAAACCCAACCTGCCTAACGGCTCCTGTCTGGACCAGAACCGGACTTTTCATGGGTTTACTTTGGACCAAGCTGTAAGTTCTGAAATTTAAAAACTCATAATATTAATTTAATTGTTTAATACTCTGTTTGTTTTTTACTCTACATTTTATTTTTATTTTCAGGAGCTGGACCTTTGACCCGGAAGTGAACACCCCGCTCCTGATCGTGGTTCTGGACCGTGATGTTCGGCTAAGGTTCCCTTTCATTGTCAGAACCAGGACTAGCAGCGGACCGGAGCCATGCAGATCGACACGGTTTCACCGGTAAACAGTCCGTCCGATCCGCCGAACCGGGCCGAGTCCACAGGATTCGGTCATAGCTGCGCGCGGGCGGAGCTAACCCAGTTAGCCGCTGCCGCCGAACCCCATTCAGAATACACAGCGTTTAAGTGCAGGACTTATTGTCCTGCGTCCAGTCCTCTCAGGTCCAACAGAACCGTTGCAGTCCGTTAAAGGCTCCGTTCGAACAGATGGAGAAGTTTGGACCGGAACCTGCTTACAGAACCCGGGTTTATGGGTTTATACTGTGTGGTAAATTCAACTTTATAAAGCTGAAAAAATGAATGGAGTTTGGTTCTGATCAGTTCAGGTCTCATTAGTGCTGGTTCTGTTTGGTTCTAGTCTCAGTACCGGTTCTGGTCTCTTTGGCTGTGGGGGGGAGTGGTTAGGGGAGTCATTCTTGCCGGTTTGATCCCACTTTGTAGCCGTTGTGTCCTTGGGCAAGACACTTCACCCTCCTTACCTGCTGGTGGTGGTCAGAGGGTCCAATGAAGCTACAGTGTAGCTTAGCACCATCAGTCTGTGGCTACAGTGTAGCTTAGNGTGGCTACAGTGTAGCTTAGCACCATCAGTCTGTGGCTACAGTGTAGCTTAGCACCATCAGTGAATGGCTGTTTGTCCTTTACAAAACATCAAAAAACACTAAAGGTAAATGTAATTTGCTGAATGTGTTGTTAGTATTTAAAGTTTACTTTGTTCTGAAGTTCTCAGGTTGACGTTCAGGAGCTGCTGGAGGAGATCTTCCTGGTTCTCCTCCTCATCCCTTTCTTTCACACAGAGACACATTATTAAAGGCTCAGTGGTTAAAGCTGCAAAACATATTGAACGTTTCTTCACCTACAGATTACCCAAGCATCCAGTACCATCCAGTATCTAACAGTACTATCCAGTATCTAACAGTACCATCCAGTATATAACAGTACTATCCAGTATCTAACAGTACCATCCAGTATATAACAGTACCATCCAGTATATAACAGCACTATCCAGTATCTAACAGTACTATCCATTAGGAGACATTCAGATGCATGACTATAACCAAGCTGTCAATCAGACAGCCTGGCCCCGCCTTGCTCTGTCCTGATTGGATAAAACTTAACTGTGGTAGTTTTTAGTCGTACCCAGGATGGATTTAATTTTATGTTTTTACAAGTGGACCTCTGTCGCAGCTGAGAACTTTAATCCAGGTCTTTTTACTTGTTTGTCCACCAGACCACCAGCAGCTGGGATCTGGTTGTCTTGGACAACCTAAAGACCCTCATGTTGACTAACTGTTCAGCTGCAGAAACTGAATCTAAGGTTGGGATTAAGGGCCTGATCAGGTCCAGGATGTTGATCTGGACACTTCTATTACCTGCTTGACCCAAAACACATCAGCACCCATTTCTTTGTGTTTTCTCTGGTGGACTGAATAAACCGTTCTGGTCTGGTATCAGAAGTTCTCTGTTGTTTCAGGATCATGCCAGTGGAGTTGGGATCAAAGTGGAACCAGACGACTACTTGGAGATCTGCTCGTATCCTGTCCTGAAGAAGCTGTCCATCAAACTGACTGACTGCAGGGTGTGGCTGCATGGCCGGGACTTCCTGTCTGTCGGTGAGTTTCAGAACAAGGCCAGTGAAGTTCTGGATCAGATTGTGTTTGGTTCTGAACCTGGTCTGATTGTGTCGGGGTTAGACCTGAGGTAACCTGACCTCTGCTCCCCCAGGTGATCACCCTCAGCTCTGTAACCTGCCATGCCAGCGGCAGAACGCCACCAACAGCGGCAGAAAGATGGTGTACTGTCCCGAGTGTCACAAGGGGTTCTACAAGGAGACCCACCTGGAGGCCCACCTGCGGACTCACCGAGGACAGAAACCCAATGAATGCTGGTGTTGTGGGAAGACCTACCCAACCCTGATGAGCCTGGTGCTGCACCAGCAAGTTCACAACCGCAGCGAGCCGTACCGCTGTCACTACTGCAACAAGACCTTCGCCCTGAAACGGGACTGGAAGACCCACCACCGGACCCACTCTGGGACTAAACCCTTCAAGTGCTGGTTCTGTGGGGATGGGTTTGTTGAGCAGGACCAGCTCAGCGAGCACCTGGAGGTGCACAAAGGGGAGAAGTGCTACCACTGCACGCTGTGTGACAAAATGTTTGTGTCCTACCAGGGCTTCAACTTCCACCGCAAGTCCCACAAGAACCCCAGACCACTGGCCTGCCCCAAGTGCTCCAAGAGCTTCAGCAGCCTGCAGAGCCTGAAGGTGCACCAGGTGACCCACTCCAACACCAAGCCCCACACCTGTCCCGTCTGTGGAAAGAGCTTCAAGCTTCAGAGCAGCCTGCGCTGCCACCAGCGCACCCACCAGAACCTGAAGGAGTACCGCTGCACCGAGTGCGGCAAGTGTTTCTCCAGCCTGCAGGGCCTGAAACTGCACGACCGCACCCACACCGGCCTCAAGCCCTACAGGTGCTCCGAGTGCGGCAAGAGGTTCACACAGTCGCCCCACCTGAAGGCGCACATGGTGACCCACACCGGAGAGAGGCCCTTCCTCTGCACCACCTGTGGGAAGAGGTTCACCCAGTCCTCCCACCTGAAGTCCCACATCACACTGTTCCACGTGGGCGAGAAGCCGTTCCACTGCAGCGACTGTGGCAAAAGTTTCACCATCGCCCACTACCTGAGGATGCACCGCCTCAGCCACACCAAGGAGAAGCACTACCAGTGCTCGTACTGCCAGAAGTCCTTCTCCTACCACAACTCGTGGAGGGCTCACGAGAGGATCCACACCGGAGAGAAGCCCTTTGTCTGCCGCCACTGCGACCGCCGCTTCACCACCTCAGGCTCGCTGCTGAGCCACCAGAGGGCCAGACACACCGGAGAGAGGAGCCACTACTGCATCACCTGCGGCGACTTCTTCCTGACCAGCTCCCAGCTGCGTGTGCACCAGCTGGACCACACCGGGGAGCGCCCGCACGCCTGCAGCTGCGGCAAGACCTTCAAAACCAAAGGAGTCCTTCGCTTCCACCTGAAGAGGTTCACTGAGCACCTGCCTGCCCAGTGAGCAGGGACGTGGTCTGACCCTGTGTGTGAGGGTCTCAGACCGATGTGTGAGGGTCTCAGACCGATGTGTGAGGGTCTCAGACCGATGTGTGAGGGTCTCAGACCGATGTGTGAGGGTCTCAGACCGATGTGTGAGNATAACAGTACTATCCAGTATCTAACAGTACTATCCAGTATCTAACAGTACCATCCAGTATCTAACAGTACCATCCAGTATCTAACAGTACCATCCAGTATATAACAGTACCATCTAGTATATAACAGTACCATCCAGTATATAACAGTACCATCCAGTATCTAACAGTACCATCCAGTATATAACAGTACCATCCAGTATCTAACAGTACTATACAGTATCTAACAGTACCATCCAGTATCTAACAGTACTATCCAGTATCTAACAGTACTATACAGTATCTAACAGTACCATCCAGTATCTAACAGTACTATCCAGTATCTAACAGTACTATCC